TGCACTTAACAATTTTTATTTCATTAAATAATGCACCAAAGAATTTAGACTAATAACGTGCAAAAAGTAGACAAATTCACTTACCTCTCAAAATATTCCTGGCTTTCTAACTATGTGACAAGAGCTGTTACAAATTCATTCAAGCTAGTTGTTAACTTTCTCATGGGAACGAATCTTGTACTATAAGTAAAATTGACAATATTCTGTTCAGAATACAACCTTATACAATAATCATTTGATGTATGAAAACCTTGACTTTCTATTGGTTATAGGTAATATATAATGAAACATAAGAGTGAACTATCAATGAATTGTGAAAGAGGATGTGACAGGCAGGTGTGACAGGAGGGTCTGATTTTCTAATCGATAGCTCTGTAACCAAACAAAATTGAAGACTATAAAAATTATGGTTTGTCTGAGCAATAATGATTTTATAGAGTAATTTGCATTTAATTTCATTCATTTTTGAGGGGTGGTGGATAAAATAGGAATGATGACATCCTACGACAAAATGTGTCACATGGGTCACACTGTTTTTTTTTTTATATTCCCTTGTAGATTTAAGAACTTTAAACTTGTATATTATTAAAATATGGATTATTAGCTACGATTTTATGCTATTCTAATTAGTATAACATGAACAAAAAGTAGTATAATAAAAGTTTGAATGTAAGACTTTAAAACCTTATGTTATGTGCAGTAAAGGATACCTGGGGCGATATGGTTAAAAGAATTACGGACCCTGCAATCCAAGTTGTCAGATCTGGTCATGCTATAATTGATGACTGTGCATGTTGACAATAGCCCTTCAGCATAGTTTCCATTGCAAAAGGTTATCAAGTCTAAAGCACACTCCTCTCCACTTCAGTAGGGCTGTTAATAATGCTTGGAGACGGCATTATTAACAGGTAATAAAGAAAATCTTTAATATAAGTTTAACATAACACCAAATGTACAACGTTTCTTCATTACCCATTCAAGCCATCTCCAAGCATTATTAGTCTCAAAGTGGGTTCCTCGTGATCGAAGTAGGGCTGTTAGTTCAATTAATGTACATAATCAGTTGTATTGATCAGTGTCACGTAAAACCTGATTAATGTCAAGAAAATAATCAACTAATTGATATTAATGTCTTTGATTATTACAATTTTTAATTATTCCAACTATCCAAGTCTCATGCAAGAATAATCAATTAATCAGCTTTACTCCCCATTACAGCTTTCTATACGCCACCTACTATATGAAGGCAATGGTTTCCCAGTATTCATTTCAACAGTCTAATCACACACAAATCCATTGGTGCTGCATCTGGGCAACTTGATTCACCCCTGAACTCATAAAAATTGACACCCTAAAACAATTAGGAAGGATGAAAAAAGGAATTTAAAAATCAGAAATCATAGCACATTATGTTACTATTTGCCACTAAAACTAACAAATTTCTGTCACATACAAAAGTATTTGCGTCTTCTTTATAATCTATTTTACGAGGACTGCTATTGGTTCTTAGGACTAGCAAAAGAATGCATCGTTACTTATCATTGGAAGTGAAGTTTCTGCTCTACTAGCAGCACATATGGACCAATTTTTCGCTAGGGAAAAGTACTCGAAAACAGAACTTCTTGTAGTTCTACCCTAAAAATAAAAAAGAAGAGGCAGACAGATTTCAAATTAAAAGTCTGGAAGAAAGTCTGTGACAAAACAAAAGTATGTAAGCACTGTGAAGAGCTTTAAAAATATATCTATTTGTTTATGAAACTAGTAATGTCAGCAAGTACATGGCTGATAGACAAGAAAAGTTTCCATCACGATACTTACGGTAATATTTTTCACGGAAAAACAAACTATAACACAGGAAGCCAACTGTTGAGTCGGTTTGTGGACATACGCTCAAGCTTTTTGACACTGCCTACTACCTAGCCAAACATGAGCCACCCTACCCTCTGCTGCCCTAGAGAAAAAAACACAGCAAAGATCTTTGAATGACTTATACCGACGGATCACAGGGACGAATATTCGGACAATTTATCTAGCACATATCACTGTGACAGAAAATTTTGTTGAATAAAAGGAAGAGAGATCCCATAGTTTATCTTTCATTTTGTTTATTGGCTGCGAAATACCCCAAACTTCATATTTATAGGTTTCTTTTTTTTGGAGCAAAGTGATGTTTCCATGAGTTTAGGTACTGAGAGATTAAAGCTTCAGATGCTGTTTGTACATATAAGTTGTGCTAAAAGTCCTCTTGTGGTCTTGCACAACCTTCGTGTGACTCAATAAGAAGCTATGAAATAAAAACAATTACAGTCCACAGAATTGGAGATTAAAAACTATACGAGTCAATATTGTGACTGGAGTGCAAAGAGTACATAAACATGAAAATAGGTTTTACAGTACATAAAATACAATAACAAATTGTCGTATTGAACTTAAAAATAGCTACCCTGACAACTTTAATGTGCAAAAAGTAACTTTATTTATTTTTACCCTGTTGTGTGACTGTTGCCTAGAGCCAAATTGATGGCTTTTGCCAATGACCTTCCACGTCCACAGATTCTCACTTGTTACCACATTTACAGAAAGACTGTTGTAGGTCTCTTTTAGGATGGTTTTGTGCCCGAATTTGATCCATTTTATCGTATTTCAATGCTTTTAATAAAGTACAAAAGATATCCAACTCGAACTACAGGGTTGAGTATCTTTTATTAAATATATCTTGAATGTTCAAATTAGTAAGTCACGTGACGGTCATAGCCTATATGAAGTTGTGGTTGAATGACATTTATCAGAACTTCATTTTCAAATTCACACAAGTTTTTATCGCCTTTACATAGTAAAACTTTATTTTATTCACCAGGTTTAGCTAGCATCATCAGGTGAGATACGAGAACTTTATTTTGACATTTTTTGGTGTTTCATAGGTAGTGTGATGCTACAAAAAATTGATAGCCTTTGTGAAGGGTATGTCTAAAGCAAAATATTCACACATGTTGAGATCATAAATGGTGTGTTCAACTGGTTGTTTAGGATTTCTAAGACGAACAAAGGTGATAAAACTGTTTCACTAACAATGATTCATCTATGATTTACAATATTACTTCTGGTTAAGCGTTCAGTATTTTTCATATCAAGTTTTTTTCGACTACATAAAATGTAAGCTAGATGGCACTATTATTGTCAATTCATTTTATACTAGTACTGAAACCACGCTAGTTTAATATAGTTTTTTCATATTTCAAACTATATTTAAAAAATGTCTAAGCCTAACATATTATAAAAGTAATATTTTAGAAGTGCTTAATACTAGATTGAATAACCAGAGAATAAACAAACTTGATAAGCTTACGATACAATTTAGTTTATATAGTTTGACAAAGAGTTTGGTGTACTCACAATCATCTTAACAACGTATTATACAAACGGGACTAATTTACTCTGACCAATCAGAATAAAGAATCAATAATCATTCAAACATGAAGACTCACATTCTTTCCTCTTAATATTAATGTTTCAAATGTCTGTTCTATGTCTTTCAGAGAAAGCTTCTGGACAACAGCTTGTTCAGCGAGTGACTTTACATCAGGACTCCACTCATTCTCTATATACCAAATGGATTTTGGATCCCTAACAAGCGCTTCTCTTTCTGTAAGAAATCTCATTTAGTTAGTCACTACATTTACTACATATCGGGGTTACAGTAACAAATCAAAATCATTATAACTTGAAACAAAGTAGTATTTATATTGAAGAAATGAAGATACATTTCATTCTTTTTTTATTTTCTGTAGAAAATTAAACACTTATTAAACAAAGTCTTTGTGTACCCACACAAATTACAGAATTATTTATAAATATAATGGTTAAGAATGTAATAATTTTACTCGGGTAAAACTGGATGCAACTTAAGCAGTAGAATTAAGGACGCACCAGACCCTCCTCACACATTTACACGTTTTGTACAAATAACAAAACACCAGTTTGGATCAAATAATTTTCAAATTATACACAATCAGAGTAATGTTACTGGAAGAAAAATAAAAGAAGCTTTAGTAAAAAAAGAATTAAAACAAAAAATAAATTATAATGATGCTGTTAATATATATTTAAACTATATGCATGTTGGGTGAGATTTTGTACTATTTAATATATTCTTTACTGGTTTAATTTTAACACTTACAACTGAAGGGGGGTCACAGTTGCGGTCAAAACACTGTACTCTGTTTTTTATAATAAAAAAAGTTTTTACCCACTTTAAGCTGTTTTATTTTACATTTGAATCTTTTAAGTTGATTTTAAAATAATTAAATCAAGTCTCCATTAAGACATTAAGCCTACAAAGTAACAAGTAAATGGTATAATACTTGCCATAAGCTTCATAACTTCCAAGAAAAGGAGCCTGTCAAATAAGACAGCTTATATATGATCATATGTTAATTATCTTATAATCATTTATTCAATGTAAACACCTTTAGTTTATATTTGATAGAGAAACATTCTAAAGCACTTAACCTATGCAAACATAACTCCAAATTAGTATGTGTAAGGTAGACCTATACTGTACTGGAGATATGGCAGATTGTGTCTGGTGGCTACTGGATTCAAAGATCTGGCTAACTCCTTCAGCCAAATAACTGAATATTCAACTGTCAAATAGTTCATTTTTTTATTAGGTCATCAAGAATTAATGTCGTGTTTTGGAACACCTTCATTAACTACCCTCCAAAAAAACGTACATCACGTATAATAGTTAAACGAACTGACTAAACATCACGTTAGTGTAACCTATATAAT